TCCGCGCAGGTCTCCACGTAGATCGCCACCCAGGTCATCCCAGTCACGCAGGACTCCACCTCGTTCATCGTCGGAGGAGTATCAACGTCCCCTTCTCAGCGCTCCTGTTACTGAAGATGATGCCGGCATCATATTCTCGGACTCTGAAATACGGTACTGGATGGCTAATGGTTTGGACTTGGCTTCACCATCTAAGAACGATAATCCGGCTCACACCTATCTGATGACAGATGATGATGTAGACACGCTCACTCTACCCCCGATCGATCCCATCACAACGGTTCCACAGAACCTGGACGCAGCTTTCAAGACAGCCACTAAAACCCAGGCACCACACTTACCACAGTTCAACGCCAGGAAGTTCTCCTACCATAATATGGATCCTTTCCTTAAAGCTCAGGACATAGACGACAACTTTAAAGTAATCAGCGATGCCAAGGCCAAGTCGTACAAGATTGAGGACCGCAAGCTGGCTCAAGTAGAAAAAATGACCAGAAGAATGTTCTTCGGCCTCAACAGATCTCGCACAGTCAACAAAATGCTCATCGCTAAGTTTCGAGATTCTACTGCGGAAGAAGACAGAATGATTTATTCAGCCCTCCTTATGCAGAAGAAGGACCAACAGTTCATGTCAGACCACCTTTCGTCCATCTCCGCAGCTCTAACTCTGGCTCGTCGTCAAGGTCTCCTTGCCTCCTGCAGTTGGAGTGAACTGTTTACAGCGTCACTTTACACAGCCCCGTGGTCAACTCCTTCCATTTTTGCTGGAGAAATCGACAGGGTTGCTAAGGAAGTCACTAAAGATTCAAGAGAAGTCCTAATGATAAAGTCCATAGACACTCTGGCCAGCGTCATCAGGCAGACAACCCAGCGTTACTCAGGAAGATCCAAGTTTCCTGGAATTCAGAGAGCACGGGACAGGAAAGTGGCTAGCTCCAGAGGCGGGAAGGACTCTTTTCGCCGCCCATCCGGCAACTACAGGGGAGGATCCGGACGAGGCAGGGCACCCAGAGGTCCCCGGAATTATCGACGATGAAAGACGGGTTCGGAACAACTGGAGTCTTCCACCCCCAGCCGTTCCAGTACAACCTTCACAAGTGGGTGGACGTCTACAATGCCACTGGGAAAACTGGGGAATACTACAAGATCAATATGTATCCAACATCCTAAGACACGGATATCGCATCCAACTACAGGCCACGCCACCGCTTACAGTCAACCCTTACAAGTTCGACTTCAAGGCACATCAGATAGAAAAGTTACGAGAGGCTGTCTCATCTCTTCTAACCAAGCAGGCCATAGAAATCGTGGATCAAGTCAACATCGAGCCAGGTTTCTACTCCCCAGTTTTCCTGGTTCCAAAGAAAAAGTCCAAAGAAAAGTTCCGACTCATCTACAATATGAGCACGTTCAACAGGGATTATCTACGCAGACCTCCCAGGTTCCACATGATACATCTACCTAAACTAATCCACCTCGTCCGTCCGATGGACTACATGGCAAGCACAGATCTACAGGATGCCTACCTGCATATCCCGATACATCCCGACTCGAGAAAGTACCTCAGATTTACACTGGACGGGCTACATTACCAATGGAAGGTCCTGCCATTTGGAATATCATCGGCCCCCTGGTTGTTTACAAGAGTAACTAAACCCATAGTCACATATCTACATCATCGAGGGCTACGCAGTGCATTTTGACTCGACGACGGGATTCAAGTAGATCAAGACTCAGTCCGTCTCAAACTACAACTGAATTTCACCATCAATGTACTTACTCAGCTAAGATGGTTAGTGAATCTACTCATGTCTGACCTAGAACCTACGCAGGACCTACAGTTTCTAGGCATCAGATTTCTCACGACGCACAAACGTATCGTCGTGCCAGAGGACCGATGGCTCAAGATTCAACAGACCATACCTCAAGCCTTACTCTCTCCGTGGCCACTACGACAGTGGCAGAGTCTGTTGGGTCTCCTCACGTCTGCGCAAGACATGACAGCCAGAGGCAGACTACAGCTACGCCCGTTACAGGTCCTCATCAACGCTCATCTCGACGACCTAGAACCCTTCAGTCTACCGAATTGTCTCAGGCCTCATCTACTATGGTGGACCCGGAGGTCGAATGTTTGAGATGGCAGCTATTTAGCAGAGCCGGAGTTCAAGACCCATCTATACGTAGACGCGTCACTCCAAGGTTGGGGGAGCACATCTCAACAACCATGTGGCAGCCGGGATATGGAATCAGGAAGAGAAACGTCTGCATATCAACATGCTAGAGATGAAAGCAGCAATCAACGCCATACTCCATTGGAGCACCATTCTACAGAATGCGCATCTCATGGTACACACAGACAACTCGACAGTGGCGTTTTACATAAACAAGCAAGGCTCAACAAGATCATTGAACCTACTAGATCTCTGCTTTCAACTGTTCGACCTAATCGACGATCTGAACATCCACATAAGAGCATGTCACATTCCAGGAGCCAAGAATGTCATAGCAGATGCACTATCCCGTCCAACTCTACCATCGCCGACGGAATGGATGCTCCATCCAGAGATCTTCACACAGATCATCAAGGAAATAGGAGCTCCATTAATAGACCTATTCGCCACACGCTTCAACAATCAGCTAACAACATTCGTCTCGCCAGTCCCAGACCCACGAGCGTGGGCAACGGACGCTCTCAGCATATCTTGGGAAGGCCTCAATGCGTACGCGCTTCTATCAAAAGTTTTACAGAAAATCAGCCGGACAAGGAACCTCCAACTGATTTTGGTCGCGCCTTACTGGCCAGCGAGAATATGGTTCCCAATTCTCATACAAGAACTCGGACCACCAATACTGCAACTACCAGAGCGATCGAATCTACTAGTACATCCTCACACAAAACAAGCGCACGGCAACCCAAGGGCATTCCAACTACACGTATGGACTGTATCAAGGCGTGTTTAAACAAGAGAGGTTACTCAGCCAGAGCGGCGAAAGCAGTCACGCTTGCTTTACGCAATTCTACACCCAACTTGTATGACAAGTGGTGCAGTTTTGAGACCTACGCTGCTAAAAAGGGATTTACAGCTAGAAATGCAACACATCCTCAAGTGGCAGACTATCTTTGTCACCTACGACAAACCAAGCGTCTGAAAGGGTCTACACTCTCAACATACCTAGCGGCATTGAGTTCAGTTATAACTATGAGAACGGGTGCAAAGCTAACCAAAGTACCAGAGTTACTGGCCTTGTTACGCTCTTACAGAGCTTTTGAGCTCCGGCATGGGACCTCAATATCGTTCTCAAACATCTCACAAGTGACGTTTACGAACCACTGGAGACAACATCCTTTGAATTCTTGACACAGAAACGCTGTTCCTGCTAGCCCTAGCAACAGCAGCCAGGATGTCGGAAATTCATGCTCTAGATTATGAGAGAACGCAATTTGATGAAAATCAAAATACGGTGCACATGGGACTGCGATGGGATTTTATCGCTAAGAATCAACTGCCAGGTCAACCGGACAGACAATTCCACGTCCCAGCACTATCCTCCATACTCGGACCACGTGATACGCTTGACTTATTCTTGTGCCCTGTGAGAGCATTGAAAGTTTATCTACATCGATCCAGAATGAGGAGACGCAAGTTTAAACGACTTTTCATCCCAATATCAACAGCGACACAGACGGAAGTCTCCCGCACTACGATATCAATCTGGATAAGAACTGTCATACTACGAGCCTACAAGGCTGCAGGACTCGATCTTCCAAGAGCCTCTAACCCTCACGAAATTAGAGCACTGGCATCAACACTCGCTCTACATGGGAATTGCTCGCTTAACACGATCATGGAGGGCTGTTTCTGGAAATCGGACACGGTGTTTGCAAACCACTACTTGAGAGATATCGCCACCGAGGACGTCTCAGGCTTTCACCATTTCGGCCCTCTGGTTGTCGCACAGCAGTTGACAGTTCCCCACAGAAAATGAGACGTAGTCTCGCTGTGTTATCAAATGACTTATCAAGCCTACACTCAGCAGAGTTTGCTTCAGTATCCTTGCACGTCTCAAGATTAGCATAAGTCATAAACCCAGTACTTGTAAGTTTACTAGTACAGTTGGGTCGCTTCTCCACTTTGGAGTCGCTAAATCCACATTAATATTAACAGAAATAGGACCAAAAAGTTAATTATTGTGGTCCCCCCATCTAAAGGCAGCTGAAAGAACACATTTGCTTATAGCAGCAGAATTTAGCATAATTACAGTGCCATTATGAAGTTCCCGTAGGGGGGGGTATTTTAACGTAAAATTCACTAATTAAATCCTAAGTGCTTTTTCCCACCACCTTATCCGTCGGATTCTACAAGCAATTAAGCATGAGTCAGGATAAGGAAAAATATGTAATTTTCTGAGTAAAATTGATATTTTATACTTATCCTGACTCATGAGGTAGCCCTCCCAACCTCCCCACAAGACACTTTGGATTTCCCTGTAAATTCAAGTATCGGGCTCATATTCAGGAGAGAGTGAAGCATGTGGGAGAACAGTGGCGCCAGTTTCCCGCCAAAACGGAAGGAGGGACAACTCTTGGTGATTAGTGATTAGTGATTTTTGCATTGAAGGGAGCTTCAATAGGAGATACAAGTGTTCCACTATGTTGGCAAGAAGAAGAAGACAAGCAATTAAGCATGAGTCAGGATAAGTATAAAATATCAATTTTACTCAGAAAATTACATATTCAAGTTGAACCGGTTGATCAGAAACAAGTTTCAGGAAATAAGGCAACTAAGTGTTAGAGGTGGTATTACATGTATAACCATTATTATCATTGTAGATAATACATCAAGATTCATGTGATAAAAGGTGATATTCAATATGGGCACCTAAGTTGATGAGAATCAATGTGTTGAGATATGAGACACAACCCAAAAGTTGCTCAAAATCTTAAACATTTCTGATTGAACTTTCATGGACATGTGTAAATCTGTATGTGTGAATTTCAGGGGCATCTTGCTGCAAGAGCAGAAGCGCGTCCATGAGGCCTTAGAGAGTTATCAGCGAGCAATACACTATCGACCCAAGCTCTCCAGTGAGTTAAGAACTTGATATGTTTTTATCTAAGATCCTGTTCAATTATATTTGTGAGTCTAAAGCCAAAATGTTTTGAAGGATGATCGTGATTCGATATACAGTTTAAGTATATACATTTGAAGTATACATTTGAAAATATTTTCTGCTGACAACAGTGCCTTCATAAAGGTCACTGTATCATGCTGTGAGTTCACGCTCGTCCATCTTCAACATCTTCTCCACAGAATCTTCTTTAACCCACAAAATGCGATTTAACATGCTAGTTCTGACCAAAGATGACACTTGAATTGGTTGTACTTTACTTAAAAAGAGAGAAGTGCTTGTTTCCGGAACAGTAGGGAGGCACATGCCTCTATCATCTCACACTTCATGAAGACCAGCAGTTGTTTAAAGATTCTCAATATCCAGGCAAGGCCTGTTTTAGAAGCTTAACAACTGATGACTGTTATTATCAGTGATTTATTGCTATTACCACTACTATTTCATTTCATATTTTCATCATAATTGTAGTGCTGTAATAACATGGAATTTTGGGTTCATCAGTAAAAAAACCCACAAAGCTATGGGGTGTGAGCTGACGGCACATTTATTAGTCTGGGACAATTCCACCATTGTCCTCATACATAAAACCCTGAAACAATTGATGAACAATGTAAATCTGCTAAGGTATCATGTCATACTCCAAATATACTCTTTAAAAAAGTAGGGGAACTTCATTTTTAATTTACGATTGAAATACATCACGATTTAGACATGTGGTCGCTGCTTCAAGTACATGCTGAAATGTTTAAAATTATAAAGTACAGATCAAATCAAGTCAATACAAAACACCTGCATATAAATATACCATGGATGTTAATAATACATCTATAATGACTTTTAGACATAGTTACCCAGACGGGATGACTGCTCAGTATAGGTACACTTTTACAGGAGACATGATATACAACAAATTCCAGGTGTGTGGATCTAGGTTTGCAAAATCCGTCAGTCACTCGTACTGTACAGTCTGGTAAGGATCTGTAGTAATAAACATACCACAATAGCATCTATATATAAGTCAATACACAACACACATGGCTAATGCATGTCATGACATGTCAACTACAATAATACCTAGTACATTGTATTATACCTACTTCATGTCAATGCACTCACCTGGCATATTGCTTAGTGCGGCATAAAACTAAACTCACTCACTTACACACATGCATATGTACATACCCATACATATCTACTATAACGTACGTACCAATATGATGTGATTACATTGTTTCACACTACACAACTTCCATGGATTTACGTTAATACAATAGTTACATCTAATATATTTTGCTGATTATTTAACCAGTTTAAGAGGAGCCCGTCATGGTACGGATTCCCTACATTACATATAAATTACATATACGTACACACATCTAAGTAAGCTAAAATACCTATATTTAAAAGTGAGTATTATCCCAGTTAACAATTTTTGGAACTTTTTGTCTGTATGTCATGATGTGTCACGTTTGTCAACACATTAAACACTATGATGTCACTCTTAGTTCTGTTAGGTCTAAGAAAATGTTCTTTACATGTGCTGTATATCTTTTGATCCTTTATTAAATGATGCCTAGTATAAGTCAATACACAACACACATGGCTACAATAATACCTAGTACATTGTATTATACCTACTTCATGTCAATGCACTCACCTGGAATATTGCTTAGCATGAGTGTATATATTACACTCATGCATATATACATCCCCATACATATCTACATCCCCATACATATCTACATAACGTACGTACCAATATGATGTGATTACATTGTTTCACACTACACAACCTCCATGGATTTACGTTAATATAATATTTACATCAAATGTATTTTGCTGATTATTAAACCGTTTAAGAAGAACCTGCCATGATATAGATTCCATACATTGGTTGAATATGCATATTTAATAAGTAGACTATATCATTTCTACTTTACCAGAAAATGGAAGACATAAAACACCTATATACATCTATATGTGCATATCAAACACATATACTGATTACACATTAAAACCAATATACTACAGTACAGATGGAACACTCATCTTGGAATTACACAGATACCTTTAAAACCTCTCACTGCAGTGTGGAGCTGCTTACTGTTCAAGTGCTTTAGAGTGACTAAATTAGCAGATCAACAACTGAGTTTAAACTGCGGGATAATTACTTAAAGGCACTATTTCACACCACACTCCTCTAAAAATAAATAATGCATTTCTCTCAATAATACTAACTATCAGCCCTCAGGGAAGCTACCATATAGTTTATTCAATTTTGTTTACGCATTTAGATTACAATATTAAATTAAAAAGTTCGAATGAATCAATGCAACATCAAAATTAATGCTTGGATCTTCTTCATATATCCTTTGTACATCATAGCTATGAATTATTTTCCCAAATTTGTACTTAAATTAGCCATATTTTTCAGACTCTGTAAAAGTATTTGTGGGTCACATGGAACGTGCTCTATATGTACAGTGTACTCTGTCAATACCGGCATCAGTCGGGACCAAGTAAAAATGCCGGTTTTGACAGAGTGCCGGTTTAGCTAGGTTCGCTTATGACGCCTGCGCACACGGAAGTTCGCTGTCGTACTGTCACTTTAGCATTAACAAGATGTTTGAATAAGAAACAAGGCAGTGTCTGAATGCACATTCATGTTGTTTAAATCAAATAAAAATGTCTGAAATCTCTTATTAAATTTCAACTGATCATATATTATCGGCAGAATTAGAATTATAAACTATTTTTCGCAATGTTATTGCAAACAAGCGATTCTTGTTTATGCTTCGCAGCGGGTCTACAATAGCATTGTCAAAGAGCAAAGTAACGATGTTTCAAACATCGAGGAAATCATTAAATAAATTGAAATCAACAATAACATTCATAAAAGTTGTCAAACGTACATATAAAATTACTATTTCCATTCTTTTGGCGATCATGCAATGTAAGTCAAGTCACTGACAAGTTACATCTCGGCTTTCACCACGATGCTTAATGTGAAAATATATCGTGAAGCATTTTGTCATAGGCCATAACCTAGCACGATATGTCCAATACGTTCCATGATTTCACGTATAGGTAGCGATGTCTTTCTTAATATGTTCAGAATAGCATTATTTTACCCAAAACTTTCGTCTTAATCTAAAACTTTTCGTTTTTACGAGGACGGTATCCATTTCCATAATATGATTGGCTGCTTAGGTCACGTGTCTGATTTTGACCAATCACGACCCTTATAAGCAGAGTGTAGTGAAAAAGCGTCGTTAGAAACCAATCTTTATCCAATAAAATCGCTTCTTACAAATGTGAAAATACTCTCGGCAAGAGTACAGTGATATTGTTGATGTTCAGAGCTTTCGAACGATACACGCCATCAAACGATTCGCCTCTATGTAAGTGACACGTGCCACTCACTAATTAACAAGAAACTGATTGACACTTCCCGTTTCTGAATAATCACGGGAGTAAATACCCGCGAATCAACAAAATGTAAACACTTGCTTGTTTATACAGTCAAACTGCCCACTACATGTATTAATTACTCTATGTAAGTGTTACGTACCACTCACTGATTAACAAGGTACTGATTAACACTTCCCGTTTCTGAATAATCTCGGGAGTCACAACGAATTGTGTTGTTACATCATTTGGACCTAATTGCATCAAAGGGTTACGCCGTCTTTCATGTGCCGGTTTTTACAGATTCGTTTTCATAACAACTTGTTCGTTGGGACTGAAAAACAATGCCGATATCCTGAATAGACAGATGCCGATGTTTACAGAGGTTTCTAAATGATAATAACGTGCATTTCTGCCGGGACTGAAACTTTGTGCCGATGTAGACAGAGTGCCGGTGTTAAGAGAGGCCGGTATTGACAGAGTCCACTGTATATTCAAAATTTCCGAAACGTGGCCCTCAACCTATTTGTTCTTCTTGCGTCTTTGCTAACTGCAATTTAAGTTCCAAATATAGTTTCTGTGCCCCTCTTAGGAATAAGGGGATAAGGAATATGCAAGTTACTTATTTGCCTTACAATGCAAAAAGATGGACCAAAAAATAGGCGGGAAAACTCTTGGGCTCACCCGTTCGCACAGCAACAGACTGCTGCACAACAATCGGGGTTCATGCAACCAACCTGCACTTCAAAAGGGGTTTTTCAATCAGCTATTCATATTGTGACTAATATCACAAAAGTCTTGTTTGCTATTCAGCAACAACAACAACAACTTTCAACGGGGATGCACAAGGGGGGGCAACACAATCAACACCAGCATCGTCAGTGTGTGAAGAGTCTCAAGATGATAATCTAGATTTATCTCTTAATGGGAATTCATCTCAGGAGGAAGATAACTCCTCAATTTATGAAGGCCAGGATTTATTAGCCAATTTCTTCACTAACAAGGGATTCATCTCCCGCAGATACATACTGTATTAAAGGCGAGGATATCGACACATTAACCATCCCTCCAATGAAGCCAATTTCACAAGTTGTAGAAAATGTGGAGACGGCCTTCATGAAGGCTTCTAAGGCTCAAGGGTTGCCTACAGCTTCCTTTAATGCAAAGAAATTCCCATTTCACAATATGGAAGTTTTCAACTAGGCACCAGAAAGTAATGAAGACTATTCACTTATGAGTGATTCCAAGTCATACAGGGTAGAAGATAACATGTTGGCACAATTAGATACAACTTGTAGGGCATTTTATAGATTGGCCATGCGATCAATGAAGCTATGCTTAATTCATTGAAGAATCCACAATCAGACCGAGAAATAATGTTTGTTTCTGCTGTGGTCGCCCAGAGGAGGAATCAAGAGTTCATATCGGATTACATGAGCTCCACCTCAGCAGATCTCACACTACTACGACGTCAAGGATTATTATCCTCATGTCAATGGTCAGACCTCTACTCAAAGCCTTTATTGCATCAACCCAGGGGGGCATCTA